GCGCGGCGGTGGACGGCGTGCGCTTCATCGCGGACCACGTGCGCAGCGAGGACGACGACCAGAGTGTGAGTGGCGCGGCCGCTGTGGCCTCCTCGGGCTCTCCCCGGTGGGCTTCCGGGAGGCGGCGCCGTGGAGGCTCGAGTCGGTACGGGCGGCGGGGACGCCTGGGGAGGCCTTGGTGGCTTTGCGGCCAGCCGGTGGCCGCGACCCCGAGGCCCAACCCCCGCTGGCCCCCCGAGTCCGAGCCGGTGACTGTGGTGATCGCAGCTCTCGGCACGAAGGGCTCCGGGTCCCTCGTGCGCCCCACGGGGGGCGGAATGGGGGCGGTGGAAGATGGGTGGGGGCAGAGGCCCAAGTCCCACCCCTTTTCAGCGCCTTTGGGACGGCCTGGTGAAATCGTTTTGGAGGAGGGGCAGGTGGAGGCAGGGGCTTCCCAGAGCAGCGCCCCCGCCGCGCGCACACCCGGCTTTTTGCACCCAGGCGCCCGCCGCGGAGGGGGACCCCGGGAAGCCCCGAGCCCGCGCAGGGGCAGAGTGCTACGGGCCGGGGGCGGCCAGCGGGCAGCCTTCGGGCACCGGCCGCTTCCAGGCTGCGGCTCGCCAGTGGTTGCCATGGTGACTGGCCGGGTTTCCGCTAGGATGCAGCCGTTCCGGTTTGGGGGTGAGGAAGGGCGGCTCCGGCGCTACCGCTGGGGGCAGGGGTGGGGGCTTGAGAGCCTGGCGTTTCCATTCCCCAGGAGGGCAGGACCGCGGGCTGGAGCTGGGGCTTGGCCAGGGAGCAGGGTACGTGCCTGATGGGCGGAGGGGGGAACAGGCCCGGGGAGACGCGGCCGGGCAGCGCTGGGGCTCAGCCGCGCGTCCCGCCGCCGCCGCCCCCTGCCGCAGTCCGCTCGGGGCCCGGTGCAGTGGCCTACTTGGACGCCGCACTAGCATCGCAGACTTCACACGTCCAAGCCCCAGTGCTCCATCTAAACCCCACCACCGGCTTGCTCCTCCTGCAGTCTCCCCATCTTACAGTAAATGGCGTCACCGTGCACCCAGAGGTTCAGACCAAAAACCTGGAGTGATTCTTGACTCCTCTCTCGCACCTCCCCCCCATCCAAGTCAGCGGAAGTCCCGCGCCGTGAGCACAATCACCGAAGCCCTCTCAGCTGTCTCCCTCCGCCGCACCTCTCCAGGCTACTCCCGGGTCGGCAGGCCCCCCCCCCAGGCTCTTCCCGGACTGGGGCAGGGTCTCCTGGCGGTCTCCCCGAGTCAGCTCTGTTCTCCTTCCTCCAAATATGCGACGTCTCCTTCTCACCTTGTGCCTCCTCCTCCCTGGCTCAGGTCACTGGCCCGCTAGTCTAAGCAAGCAGAGCTCTGTCTTATCTCAGGATGTTTGCACCCGTTGGTCTCTCTGCCTGGAATGCCCTTCTTTTTTTTTTCCTTTAAAAAAGTATTACTGGGGCTCCTGGGTGGCTCAGTCCGTTAAGCATCCGACTCTTGATTTCGGCTCAGGTCATGATCTCAAGGTTGTGGGATTGAGCCCCACCCGCGGCTCTGCCCTCAGTGCGGAGTCTGCTTGGGATTCTTTCCCTCCCCGACTTCCCCCCACCCCACACACACTCTCTCTCTCTCAAATAAATTTTTTAAATTTTTTAAATTAATTAATTAATTAATTTTTTAGAAGTAGGTGCTAGTATTTTTTTAATAAAGATTTTTTTTTTATTTATTTTAGAGAGAGAGCACGAGAGGGAAGAGGGTCAGAGGGAGAAGCAGACTCCCTGCCGAGCAGGGAGCCCGATGCGGGACTCGATCCCGGGACTCCAGGATCATGACCTGAGCTGAAGGCAGTCGCTCAACCAATGGAGCCACCCAGGCGCCCTCAAATAAATTTTTTTAAAAAAGTATTATTATTACTATTAATGTTTGCTCTCCTGTTTGAGAGTAGGTTGCAGACATTGTGACCCTTTATCGTGAATAATTCAGTGTGTCTTGTCCTGATAATAGAGATGTTGTCTTGCATAACCAGGATCAGTGATCAAATTCAGGAAATTCAACATCCATATAATATATTTAACTGATATAAAATCCATATTAGAAAAGTTTTCCAGGGATAAGCGTCTCCTGGTCCTGGGATGGAGCCCCATGTTGGTCTCCTGCCTCGGTGGGGAGCCTGCTTCCCCCTCTCCCTCTGCCTCTCCCCCCTGCTCGTGCTCTCTCTTTCTCTCTCAAATGAGTAAATAAAATCTTAAAAAAAAGTTTTCCAACTTTTGGAAAACTTTTGGGTGGTGCAGTCAGTTAAGCATTCGACTCCTGGTTTTGGCTAAGGTCATGATCTCAAGGTCATGAGATGGAGCCCTGCATCTGGCTCTGCATCAGCTTGGAGTCGAATTGAGACTCTCTCTCTCCCTCTGCCCCACACTGCTGCCCCGTGCACCTGCTTGCTCTCTCTCAAACAAATAAATAAATCTTTTTTTTTTTTTAAAGTTTTCCAGCTTTCTCAGTAATGCCCTCTGCAGCTCTCCCCACCCTGATCCAGGATCTCAGATTGCACTCAGTTGTCTACTTTTTTCTTTTTCTTTGATCTGGAACAGTCTCTCAGCTCTGTTTTTCATAGCGTCAACATTTTGACGGGTGTGGGCTGGCCCTCAGTTTGGGTTTGTCTGATTGTTTCTTTCTTCGATTTGTTCCGGCCATAGCTGGCTCCTTCTTATGTTCCAACGTGACCTTCAGTGTCCCTTCCTCAAAGAGGCCATCCCAGACCACCCTACAGTGTGTCTTCCCCTCCGTATCTCTCTCTCCATTCTTTGTTTCCATATCAGCACCCATCAGTGTATAATTTTTTTATTCTTGCTTATTTGTGTCCCTTTCCCTCCGTGGACAATAAGCCACAGCTGGCATTTGTCTTGCTCTTGGTCACACCTCCGTGCCTGGCACAATGCCAGGCCCACGGCAGGCACGAGCAAGCTGTTACTCAGCAGCCGACCAAATTAAGGTGCACAGCGGTCTCCTTCCTGGGCCCCCAGATGAATGTGTGCAAAGGCGCTGACTCAGGCTCAAGGGGGGCCAACCCCGTGACAGCTGCCAGACCCAGACGGTATCCTCTTTCCGATGGATTGGTCGCGTCTGGGGACCAGTGCTCACCCTCTGGGGCCTGTGTGCTGGAGGTGCTGCTGTTGGATGGGGTGCCCCAGGCAGTCACAGATGGATGGGGGCCTGTGGAGCCAGCCATTCATTTGATAACCGGACACCCATTTACCGGCACTCTGTTGCACAGGCTGGGACTGCAAAGTGAATCAGCCAGGGTCCCTGTCATTTAGGAACTTGTAGCTGGCCGGGGGCAGGGTAGGATGGCAGACACACAAATTGAAATGGCAATACAGTGCAGTAAAAACACTGTGATCGAGATGGGTCCACTGCTGAGGGAGTCCAGAGAGGACCGTGGTTCATGCTGATCAGGAGTATCAGAAAAGATCACTTCAGAGAAGAGGTAACATTTGATTTGGGCTTTAGAGGATGTGTAGGAGTTCACCAGGCAGAGAAAGGGAAGACCAGAATTCTAGACAGAAAGGAAACTCAAAGGCACAGAGACTTGAGAGCGCACATGGGGCTTTGGTAAGTCTGGGTCAGAGGGTGGAAGGGGATGGTAAGTAGGTAGGTGCGTATTTGTCGCAGGTGGGTCTTCAAGTTTGGATGGGCCCTGAAGGCAGTGGGGCCGCTGGAGGCTTTTAAGCAGGCAAGTTGGGAGCCACGCTTTGGAAAAGTCGCTGTGGGGTCATGGAGGGAGAGGAGTGGGGTGCGTGTGTACACACGTGTGTGCATGGGTGTGTGCATACGTGTGTGTGTGTGTGTGTGTGTGTGGTGAGACCTGCCTGTTCCCATTTCACGCCTGTCCTGCATCACGTGACTGATACCCCGGCCTCCTTTGTCTCCTCTGTCCAGGTGAGTGAGGACTGGAAGTACGTTGCCATGGTGATCGACCGCCTGTTCCTTTGGATCTTTGTCTTCGTTTGTGTTTTTGGCACCATTGGCATGTTCCTGCAGCCTCTCTTCCAGAACTACTCCACTGCTCCCTTCCTGCACACAGACCACTCAGCTCCCAGCTCCAAGTGAGGCCCTCCCGGCTCTGTGCCGCTCCACCCCTTGCCCTCTGTACACAGTCATTTTGGGCGGAGGAGGGACGAGTGAGCTACAGGTGGGGGGTCAAGTGAGCTACGGGGGGCGGGGGGGGCGGTCAAGTGAGCTACAGGTTGGGCTGCCGCAGACCCAGCCTCTCCGTCCCCCACCCCCAGCCCCTCCCAGCCCCGCTGGCGGCAGACAGCGCACCATGGAGGCTGGAGGCTGGACCCGCTGCCGTCTTGTCTTCTTACGGCAGCCGGGCGGGAGTGTTCCTGGTCGGGCATGGAGGTTGGGCCTTCCCCTCTGAGGGAAGTGTGATGGGGAAGGGGCCAGGTCAGGACAGAGTCCCAGGGCCCCTGCCTAAGTACACGGCCTCTGGGCTGGCAGGTCTGCCCAGGGGCTTACCTGGCTCTGTGGTCAGACCCCTGGGGGCCCTGCAGCCCAGCCCCGCAGCCCCTTGCTTCTAGGGGCTCCAAAGCCCAGCCCCAGGTCCCTGCACCCCTGGACTTCCCCCCACTTTCCTTCTTGCTCGGGCTGGGTGGGGCGGGCCAGGCTGGGCATCGAACCCCTGAGTTCGGAGCCTTCCGGTGACCTGCTTGGAGCCACGTCCTCCAACTGTGCACAAAATGCAAGCTCTCCGGCGGTCTCTCCCCACTTGAACTGACCAGTGTTTGGAGTCAGGAAAGTGAAGCTGTTAGCTCTGAGCAGACCCAGCCTTTCTGCCCGCAGCAGAGGGGGCTGGGCAGGAAAGAGCACTGGCCCGGCCGCACCCCACAAGTAGACCTGAGCGGGGCGGAGGCAGAGCCTCGTTGCCGTCACCGGCTCCTCAGAAAGCACAGCCTTTGCCTCTGTCCTGTGGGCTTGTGGAGGCTGTATCCTGACTCTGCTCCCAGGGACCAGCTGGGGGCCACCTGGCCTCTTAGCTTAGGAAACAGACCTCTGATGGACCTCCTGCCCCCACCCCTGCCATGTGACTGGCTCTGATTTGTGGTCCTGGCCTGTCTTCAGTACCAACAGGTGGCCGGTCACAGACTGGTCAGGCTGCCCAGCGCAGCCGAACGGCCGGCCGACGCAGACCATGCCGTCCTCGGGAGCACAGCTGGACCCCTGCTTCTGCAGGTGCAGCAGAGGTGGGGGCAGTGCTCACGGGTCGGGGGAGATGCACCGCGTGGGCCACGGGACCAGACAGTCTCGGTCTGGATTCCAGTCCTGGCTCACACCTGCTCGCTCAGCCACAGGGAGCAAGTCCCTTTGCCTTTCTGGGCCTCAGTGACCTCATCTCTCGAATGGGGACGGTAGCGAGGAGGAAGCAGCCCAGTCTGTACTTGGCGGAGACTTGATGGGTGTGCAGGCTAGGAGGTGGGCAGAGCTGGGGGCGGTGGGCTCACCTGACTGTCCTGACGGCCTTCCTCGCGAACCGCTCCTCTCCGTCTCTCTTCCTTGAGCAAACCGAGTCCCCTGAAGCAGGGTGGGAGTCTGGGGAGCCGGGGGCTGGAGGAGTGAGTTGAGGGGAACTTTCCGGGGGCCACTCAGTGGGTCTGATGGCTATTGCTCTCTGGAGTGCCCTCAGCAAAGCATCGTTCCGTTCCTGGGCTGAGCTCCTCCCGATGCAGGTGTGTGCTCAGGGCCTCTGGGCGGACCTCGCCCTGTCCTGGCTGTGGACACCCAGGTGGCCACTGGGCAAGAGGTGCCTCGGCGTGTTTCCCAGCCTGCTGGAGCGGGCTCGTGACCTCCCTTCTGAGTGGGTGTCTTGGCCCTGCTGAGATCCCCTCTCCTAGAGCAGCAAATTAAGAGTTGCCTGTATTATGCCTGGACCTGCTGTGGATTCCTAGCCCTGGGGAAGCCTCCAGGAGCCTGAAGAGCAACCGGAAAGGAGCCCTCCCTCTGCAGGGTGGGGTGCCGGCCCAAGGCCCTCGCTTCTGGCTCTCCCGGGCTCCTCACTGTGGCCTGGGCCATGTGGCTGGGCCTGCCCGTGCTTGGAGTACTTCTTCCAAGGGGCTGTTGTCCAAGTAAGTCACCAAAAATGCTAGAGGGCTTTAGGCCTGGAGATTGCTGCCTGACTGGGGATAAGCATCGTCCCTTCTCCTACCTTGGTGTTGTCAGGGGAGCTCCCTGTCCCTTCCATGGGGGGCCGTCTCTGGACAGTATCAGGTGCCCCATTCAGTGCCCCCAATCTGGAGAGGGCAGTGCAGACACTGGACCGAAGCCTGAGCAAGGTGGGCTTGGGAGGGGCTGCTGAGGAAGCAGGCGGGATTGTCTCCATCTGCAAAGCACTCTGTCCGATGAGCAGGCCTGCCCACACCGCTTTTGACGGTTGGCGCTGCCACAGGAGGAAAGCAGTTTCTTGGTGGCGAGGCGTCTGATACTGCAACAGCTGGACTGAGTCATCGAAAACTTGAAAGCAAACAAGACAAGGCAGCCTCCCAGCTGGCCTTCTCTGCAGAGGAAGGCTGTGCGTGCAGGAAGGGCGAGAGGCAGGGAGTGCTCTGGGCAGGATCTGGGGGCTCGACTCCTACTCCTCCAGCCCCAGGCCTTTGTTCTGCAGGGAAGGGGCCCGTCCACTTGCTCGACTTGCTCAGCTGAGCCGTCTGCACGGCTGGGCCTCGAGGCGGGCTGAGGGAAAGCAAGGGGCATCTCTGATTCACTCCCTGGCCACAGTGCACTCGGCTCCAGCTCTCAGCCTCTGCTTCCAGGTGCCTGGGCCACGGCCACGGTGTCCCTCAGCCCAACAGTTGCCGGCTGTCAGCCACCCAGGCCGGAGCGAGAATTAGCAGCATGTTTCCGTGTTGTCCCAACAGGCCCGAGGGCCCAGCGTGAGTGTCACACGACTCCTGAGGGACTGTAGGTCTAGGAGTTGTAGCTAAGACGCCTCACCCACCCACCCTCAGAGCCCCCCCCCGCCCCACAGCCCCGTTGGCCTTGGCCTCCCTTGTCTGTGCTTCTGGAATATTTGCACTGGTCTAGCCCACTCCAGGCCAGACTCCTTAGGAACTCAAGGTTCTTGTAAAGAAAGTTGTTTCCAAACATGTCTTGTCTCTCTGCTCTATTTGGGGGCCAGGGTTGGCAAATTTGGGAAACTGGGGGTGATGCTGGAGAAATTGGACCCATGAGCCATGAAAGACAGTAAAAGACTCTGAAGGTGAGCGGTAACTTTAATTTCTGTAATCGATGCCTGACAAGGGCACTCGTCAGATGGAAAAGAAATGGATAGCTCCTGGGGGGCACTCGTAGAGAAGGGCCCCGGAGGCAGGGTCGGCCGGAGTCTCTGCACAGCTCGTGTGCACGGGGAGGTCAAGGCTGTGGTCTATGTGAAGGCCACAGCTGTCCCCAGAACTCTGGTTTGCTTTGGGCCCAAACCTGGAAGGCGCTCAGTTGTGGCCCCCGGAACAGGAACAGACGTAAGGAGCTGACAAACACTCTGTGCTCCTGCGGGCAGCCCTGCGTCCCAGCCCCTCGGAGCGGGTGGTGCGGATGGGCTCGTTCCCTCCGCACATGGGTCTGGCGTTCATTCGGTGTGAAGGAAGGAAACTGTTCGCGTCCTTAAGACTTGGATACGTTTCTCTCCGGCGGCGGTGGCGGTGGCGGCGGGGCCTCCCCCCCCCCCGGCCCCCCCGCCCGCCACCCCCCACCCCATCCGTCCCCGCAGGGGCGACATCTCCTTCCCCATCTTCGGAAGCCCTGGATCTCGGCGGACCACGAATGACACCCACACACGGCTGTGGTCCTTAATGTGCCCCCAGACTTGTCACTGGCCCTCCTGGCCTCAGCTGTCCCATTGGTCGCGGACGGGGAAGGAGGCTTCGCCTTGACTCTGTGTCCTTAAGCCAGGGACGGATGTGGTAGAGACTCTGGCCTGAATCGCAACGTGGGAAGGGGCGCATTCTCTGTGAAAGTCACGCGGAGAAATACTGCAGTGCCTCCCCGAGACTGCAGCCCAGCCAGCCCCGGGCCCGCCGAGAGCCGAGAGCCGAGAGCCGAGAGCCGAGAGCCAAGAGCGGGGTGCGTACACGCACTTCCCAGCGGGCAGAGCACCTGCGGCCGCGGGCGCTGCCGGGGGGGGCGGGGGGGCGCGCAAGTGGCGCCTGCGTGTTGGGACGCGGTCTCCGAGGACAAGGTGCCAGGACAAGGCGCGGAGCCCTGGGCTCTGCTGGGGTGCTGGGGGTGCGCAGCCCACGGCAGGTGAGAAACCGCAGGGCTGCGGCCCCCTCTGCCCGCTCCCCCCCCCGCTCCCTCCCCCGCGAAGCCAAGACTGGAGACTTTCTAACAATTCAGATTCTCTTTATTTATGAGGAATGTATATTGTTAGTCACGGTTATCGAGGGACACATCAAAGCGGAATCGTAGACTGGAGTGCAGCCGCGGTGGCGCCAAGTCTGTGTTTGGGTTCTTCCCATCCCCTCTTGGGGTCGCACCAGGACCCAAACCAACAGTCGCTCAACGTGAGTAAAGGAAATAGCTTCGAGCAGCGACAATTTTCACAAGTGATTATTCAGAGGATGCACAATGGCCACAGTTCAGACAAATCAACTACAAAGATCATTTTAAAAAAGGAAGAAGGGCGTCCTGGTTACTAAAAACAAAGATTGGACAAGAAAGTAGAGCACTGTGGGAGGGAGCTCTGCCCCTCCATTCCTGGGGGGTGCAGCCGAGCCCCCTTCCTACAGCAGGAGCCAGTGTGTCTCATCTGACCTTGGGGCGAGCGGGGATCTGCTGTTTGGAGGGCCCCTGGGCTCCCGGTCGCAGCTCTGCTGGAGATTCTAACGCCCAAGATGGAGCAGAGGGTCTGAACTTTCCGCGGGGTCAGCAGGAGAGACCCTCCAGCTGCCTCCTGGGAGGCCGGCCCCACACGCCTCTGGCAGGTGCGCTCCGTGGGGCCGGGCCCCTCCCCCCCAGAAGACAGGCACTGTGTCCCGACCGGCTCCGTGGGACAACTGGCTATTCCACAAAGACATCTTTAGTATACTTCAAAAAAACTTGGGTGTTGTTTTTTTTTT